CAGCAGGAGAAGAAGAAGAAGAAGAAGAAGAGACTCTTCCTGCAAGAGAGAGAGAGAGGAGGAAGAGAGAGAGAGAGAGAGAGAGAGAGAGAGAGAGAGAGAGAGAAAGGTAAACCCTGTGATATCTTCTTAATGGCATTTGGAATAGTATACATTTTAACATAATACCTTCTATTTTAATCACAGTTTAGAGTAAAATGTTTTACACTGCTTAGGAAAAGGTTTTATTTTCCCCAATGCGTTATCAAGAAACAATTGGTCTTACTTTGTTTTGTTTTTAATCTATTGTATAGTGGAAAATACTAATATTTTATCAAATGGATAGTTTAATGAAGAAAAAAAAAAATGATGATTCAAATTGGCAGAAGTGGTTGTTCTAAATTTGAAAATGATTGAATTTGGAAAAAAGTTTCACGTACTTACGGTATGTGTATATTTTACCTACATTTGTATGTGGGCTAGAAGACGTCATGGCACTTGAATAATTGGTATTTTGGTAATTGGACTGTACTTATATAGCGCTTTATCCAGTCTTTAAGACCCCTCAAAGCGCTTTACATACTACATGTCATTCACCCATTCACACCCATTCATACAGAGCAGTGTACCTTACTCTAGGACCTAACATTCACACACATTCACACACCGTTGGCCATGCCATCGGGAGCAACTCCCGATGGCATGGCCAAAATAATAACAAATTATTATAATTTTTGACTCAGTGAAGAAACTAACTATGAAGACATACTGAAATTCAGGATGTGAATGCACTAGTGGGTTTTAGGTTTACTATTACTTGTATTTTCTTAAGAGTTGTTCAGGTGAGCTTTTTTGGACTGACCTGTATCCTGCTGTTGCCCCAGTCTGCCACGATGATGTTTCCATTGACATCCACTGCCACTCCTGTGGGGGCGTTGAACTGGCCGTTGCCCTCACCATTAGAACCAAACTTCAGCAAGAACTCTCCTTCAGTGTTGAACACCTACATTTGGAATTTCAAGGGGTGATAGTATGGAGACCTTAGAATATATATATATTTTTAACAATGATGCCAATGAAAAAATTAACAAAAACATTAATACATCAAATAAAGAAAGATGTTAAGAGAGAAATAACTACAATTGAAGAGCAAAATAAAAAAATATTCCAACATTATTCCTAGTATTAACAAAAGGACTGTTTTTTTTTTTATAGCAGAACATGTTGTTTGCTTGTAATACACTTTCACAGCTCTAGTATCGCACTGACCTTGACTGAGTGGTTGTGGAAATCTGTCACAATGATTTCATTTTTATTGTTGACAGCAGCAAAGTGTGGCCCTTAACAAAAAAAGACAAACAAAATTCAGGCAAGTGTCGTTTTACAAAATCAAATAGTGGTGGTACGGTTTTAGAAATGGACATGAAAATTAGTAAGTAGCCAAATGAATTCAATGATGATAGATACAAAATACTTTTTTTAAATGACCATTAAAGTTTTTCACGTGTTGTTAATACAGATTATAGGTATTCTTTTCCCTGTTTTATCTTTTTATTGAAAAATAAAAACCTCAGAAGTCAGAGTTTAATGGGTACTTTATGGTTCCTGGTGCGGCATTCTTCTTCATTCCACATGCAGGTGTGAGCTGGTTGGAGAAAGACTGTGAGCGGGGCAGTGCACATATTACCGTTGAGTGTACCTGCAAACTGCCGGTCACCATTGCCACGGTTACCGAACTTTGTGACCAGCTTGCCGTTGACCTGAAAGATGAAGATGCAGCAGGCCTTGTTGTCGACCACGATGATGTGACCGTTCCTGTCCACCGACACGCCTTTAGGGCCCATCAGCTTCCCCGAGCCAATCTTGCTCTGAAGGAGTCAAAGGCTTCCTGTTAGAGGTTTTTAATTGACTAGTTCCTGATAGCACATTTCAGGAGGTATGGGCAAGGTAAATGTAACTGTTTATTAATGCCAGTATGTTTTAATGGGAGTATTATCCTCACAACTCTTTAAAACCTTTTTTTAATAAATCCCCAAAATAAAAATAAAGGAATATAGAAGTAACTTATATGTTGCTATTACAAGCCTGCTTTAACGATAAGAAGAAAAGTAAAACATTTACACCATGTTAATTAATCTTTTATCTGTATATGAGATCAGATTATACTCTTTGGCCCCTGTCTTGTTATCAAGTTAAGATCACACTTTAGATCTTGACTTACCTTGAACTTGCCTTCACTTGAAAAGATGCTGACCCATTTGTTGTCGTAGTCTGCGATGATGATGTCACCGTTCGGGTGGATGGCCACTCCTGTCGGTCGCTGCAGTTGACCCGGAGTCCGGCCGCGGATACCAAAACGACTTTTGAACTGGCCGTCATTTGTGAAAATCTGCCTCACAAAAAAAACACATTTAAGATTTTAAAATGAATGTTCTAAATGCAATAATTTGGTGTTTAGTACTTTAACAGTATATTGTCATAGAGATGGAAAAACGCATAGGCAGCATTTAAGGTAACTGAAGAAGTTGTTAAGTTGGTGTTCTCCACCATAACCTCTCCATACACACATACCGCTAAACCAGTAGGCCGAGAGCAGCATCTTACCTGCACACACTGGTTGTTGCTGTCTGCTATCAGCACCTTCCCCAGAGCAGAGGTAGACACTCCCTGCAGGTTAGTGAACTCCCCTTTGTTTCTTCCTTTTGTGCCTGTAAAAACATGATATGTATTAGTAAGTGTGTTTTTGACAGAAACACATCTTATCTTCTGTCAGCCTCCCTACCTATTCTGAAGATGAGGTCGTCCTCGATGGGGTTTTCTTTCCTCCGCCCCGTGCTGTACATACTGGCCGGCCTCTTGATGGCCTTCTGCTTGATGTGGCTGCTGCCCGGAGACTTCAGCCTCTTCTTCATGCTGTCTGAACTTTGCGATACATCAACGGATTTGGTGGCCTTTATTTTAAAGGGGCTCCCTTTAATGTGTTGGTCGTACAAACGCAGTGATAGATTAAAAGTCCCCTCTTTAGGGGCTGAGAACAGGTACTCATAAGTGCCATTTTTGTTGTCCAGTATCTCCCCTTCACCTTTGCTTCCATCAGCTGAGGACATTTCAGCAGTGATGACGGCGTTGCCCATCTTACACAGCTCTCCGTCTTTGTCCTTAGTGGTGATGGTGATGGAGGTGGGGACGTCTACAACACAGTGGCGTAACCCTTCACCTGTCGCCACAGTCTCAGAGGCCACTGCATTTGTCGTCAAAATGGTGCCCATGTTGTGGATGGACTTCTTTAGCCCATCCGTCTCCACGATGAAGTCCAGCTGGTCGTTCTCCCCGGGCTGCAGGGGAAGCTCCTGGCTGGCCAGCTCCACGAGACGCTCGCTCATCTGCTTCTTCACCAGCAGCACCTCGGCCTCGGTGCCGTGGCTCAGCGCCTGCTCCGTGAAGTTACAGCTGCTGTTGATGCCGTCCTGGCCCTGCAGCAGAGTGTCCAGCTGGGCTTGGAGCACCTAATACATACACCAGGGGGCAGCAGAGTTAGCTAGAGATAGTGATCACTCCCATGAAAAACACAAGTGCAGTAAACAAATATAAAAAGGGTTAAATCCATTACATAAGAGAAAGCAGAATTCCCCTAAGAGATCAACAACTGCATGAAAATAAAGCACACTGCATACCTTTTCATTAACAAAGGGTTAGGATCTTGTCTTAATTTGGTTTAATGTTGACTTGAACATACCTTACTAACACCTCCTACCATTATCAACTATAAAAACAAATAAATAGATTTCAGATATGGCTATGTCATACTGTGTTGACTTGTTCTGCTTATCTGTTAATCAACTGTTAGTTGTTGATATACTTAATAATGTACAAGGTTACTTATTCATTGACGATCCATTAAGTGTTGCTTTATCACAGAAACAGATGCTTGACTGTATTTTCCTAACAATAGGAATGTGATACATACTGCAGTAATTATTGCATTACATCATCATGAGTCATGATAAAGGGGCATTTCTTAAAGTGGTACCACTTCAGCTAATACAAAAAGCTAAAAACTCACATTCAGATCATTGAATCTTTAAGTATGCTTTACTTGCAATGTTAAAAAAGAGGTTATTAGGTTAAGACAAACTCACCAGCATCTGACCATCACACTGCTCTTCTTCTTCTTCCACAAAAGAAGCCATTAAACCATAAATGTCACATTAAAGGAAAATGTTTCTTCAAAGCACCCTCTAGTATCGCTTTCCCTTTATGCTTACTCACTCTCTGAGCTTTAAAGTGTTCCCTCACTGCACATGACACACCCAAAGTGTAGATACAGTGCGCTGGCTCCATCTACAGTAGCTAGCAGCAACAACACAACAAGCTACGTCACATATCTGACTTTCCCCTGGGCTCCACTGTTAGTTGGCACTCCACTCTGAATTGTAAATCATTAGCTACCAATGAGATGTAGCTCCCTGAGGGGGAGACAGCAGGCTCTTAGCCAGACTGTTGATTGGTGGTCCAGGGTGGGGTGTTGCACCAGCCCACCCGGTCCCCCCTTCCTTCGCCTTGCTAATCTCTTATCAGACCAGCTGAGCCCAGCGACACCAGCCTGATGAGCAGCCTGTGATAGGTTGAATACTTTCCAAATATAGATGATAAATTAGGTCATTGTTACTTTTAATCGTTTATTTTTCCTTTTGTCTAATACTTCAATAACTTTGTATAAGAATAAATATGAATACAGCCCCTTTAAAATGGAATCAACCACTAAGATGACCATTTGTATAAAAGTCACTCCCCTGTGATACCTTGACTTATTAAAGCACTTTTTTTTTTTCTGGCATCAAAAAAACGGAACAAAGTCTTAATAAATTGAGGTCAATTGGTGCCGTGTTTAACCACATCTAAACTATATTGAAACATCTGATTAAAATGTTCCCACAGCTGATGCAGTTTAATCAAGTCATATGTATACAGTAATGTGGTCACATCTTATGCGAGAAAAATACTTTTCTTCTTCAGGAATTTAGGGTTACACAGGGTGAGTAATTGATATACATATATTCATTTTGTGGGTTAGGTATTCAGTTAGAAAATGACTGATATGTGCTTCAGGTTGTTTAAAGAACAATTTATGATTCCAGCCAAAAGTCTAAACCAAACAACCGAGCACAACTCGTTATGGAAACGTTATGTATGTGTGAACTAAATAAAAGCTTTTTAGTTGTACCTTCTGCTTGAGGCCGTAGTTGACCTCCAGCTCCATCAGTAAAACGCTCTTGCGGACATTCAGAGTCTTCTGCAACTCATCAAAGGTAGTATGGATGTTGTCCTCAATAGAACTCTTTTGATTGGTCAGCTGCTGCAGGATCTCTGACAGCATCTGCAGTGCGGAGTCGATCTCTGGCAACCTGTGAGCAACCGAGGAACCGGAGGAATGAGGAGACATTCATACAATGAGCCAACAGTCACATGACAGAGCAAGAACATAAAAGACAAATGTTTTTATTTCATTTGAGCCATTGCGGTACAGTTTGTTGGGCAGTTTCTCTTCATATTGCTGCTGTTGTACCTCTTCTTGACGGAGTTTAGCTGGTCCTGTAATGATGCCTTGTGTTGCTCCACCACGTCTTTAAGAGGCACGGTTGGGTGTTCTCCATGTTCCCCACTCGTACACTCCTGACACATGGCCGTCTCACAAGGCGGACAGTAAAACTCCATGACCTAATCAGCAGGAAAAAAGTAGAGGTTGGACTTAAATATGTTATATAACACTTTAAGCTACACCTGTAGTGTGGTTGATGGCAATAATGGTTGGATCACCACTTTGTTCTACAGTAGATTGAAATATCGTAACAAGTACAAGATAAATTGCAATGACATTTGGTGCACATACTAATGGGCCCTTCAAGATGAATTCTGATAACTTTGGTGATGTGTGTGACAGAGAAGAGGTCAAATGAAAATACAGAAAGAGGCAGACCAAGCTAATGTGTGTGTGAGTCTTACGTTGCCTCCATGGTTGGGGCAGGAGAGCAGTTGTGCAGCAGCCACAGTGGTGATGTCGTTGAGAGCCGCGGCCTCCTGGCTGCAGCTGTCCGGCGCTCGCTGCAGCACGTCCATCAGGTTGGTGATGAAGAAGTTATTCTGTAATGCCGCCACACCTTTCTCCGGCAGGATGGAGGTCTGGCGGCACACGGGGCACGACAGAGTGAGGCTGTGGGCCGGGATGTAATTCTGAAGACACCTGGAGGAGGAAAGGGTGAGGATAAGTTTAGTTATCTACTAAATTGCTAAAGTTATTTACTTATATACAACTTGAGCTACTTTTATCATCTGCACTTGTACAATCGGCAATACAATACATTAACTATGCCGCATGCACAGCTTTATATTATGTGTGTGATATGTGGACACTGTCAGAGAAGGTGTTGTGTTGGACAGGATTATATTGAGACGCTTTGTATATTGTCTCCTCTTCCTTTATGTACATGTAGAAAAATATTAGGAACACCTCCAATATAATGCAACATCACCACTGCTATTATTAGAGATCTTACAAAAAAAAGGTAGAGCAGCAATACATTAGTGAGCCAAGGGTCATAAGTGCACAGACCACACCTAGCATCCTGCTGGATGTGGTCAGAAGTACATTATAGCCAAGGAAGCTTCCGGTCAGAGCAGTAATGCTTTTATGCCATTAAGAATTTACAATATTATATTACACTTTAAACATCGTAAGGTGCCATAAGATAATATATAATAATATGTTTACATAAAGTTTTAGGTGGCTGCTATCTGGCAGATATGTGAAAAATAAATATCATCAAAAGATGGTGAACACTTTACAGAAAAAAACGTTTTCATTGTGTTATTTTTTATTAAAATGTGAGGTATTCTACTGTTCCTCCTAATACTACAGTAGTTCAGAAAAGTGGACTTATACCACAGCAATATATTTGTGAAGTAGATGTACCAGAAGAGGATTTCTATGTTGTCCAATCTGACAGCGTAATGACTCTTTAGAAGCAACCAGAGTAAAATGGACAGACAGTCCACAGTTTCTCTTTTGTATCAGAAACAAAGGCTGCTGTCAGAGGATGGCACCAACACACACAAGTTAACAGAAAAGATGCCTCTCATCTGAAACAATACTCAGATTAACAAAAAGTCCTATTGATGAGGAGTATTGCTTTCTGCATCTCCAATGTACTGTGAAGCATCCTTCTCTCGAAGAACTTTGTACATTTAAATTTGAGATCTGATAAGTTGTGTTTGCCCACATATTCCTCTTCAGTTAATACAATTCACAGGATAAATAAATAAAACACAACATATGTTAACAACACTCACCTCTCACAGAAGGTGTGTAGGCAGGGCAGTACTTTGGGGTTTTCGTAGCGGTCCAGACATATGCTGCAGATCAAGAACTGCTTGTCGATCTGGCGGACAACAGGACTGGGAAGAGTGGAGGCTTCACTGGCCATCCTACAACTCTGACATACAAGTCCTTCTTCCTCTTACCCAGCTCCCTGCAGAGAGACACAGAGGGAGGATGAGACACAGTGAGGACAAAGCTAAAGACACCACGTATGATCAAACACACAGCCCATGGAGGGTGGAAATCTGTGGGTGGTAAAGATCAAAGTTTAAAACAAAAGGCCTTCTTCCTTCCCTCCCCTCACTGAGAGAGGAAATGCCGAATGCACAAACAGACGCACCAATCAACACATGTGGCTACTGGCTTCAACTCAAACTCATAAACAGAACAATTCAAGATTGTATTGAGAGATGGTGTTGCATCCACTCAATCAGGAGGTCACTAACACCATACTGCTGTTCAGTAGATTAAACGCATCTCCATGTAATCTCTTTTTGTCTTTTCATTCATTCATTGGGACTAACAGCCTGGGAGCAGATGCAACATCTGGGAGGCTGTGAAGTAAAGAGGGTGGGAGGTCAAACTAAGGTCAGGGCTTCAAAATAAAATGTCTGCAAGCGCTTATGATCACAACATTCACAGTATTGTTTAATTTTGACAGAGAATGACCGTTGTTCCTAACATTTTTGGTTCATGACTCACAAGGTCTGCATCCATAGTGAACTCTTGTTAGCACTGCAGCCACTTAGTATTGCTGCCAACATAAAAATCACCTGCAGCCCAACAAGCATTTATCATAAACCACTATTATAAAAGAATCGTCTGTAAGACTGTTAACAGGACACCTTCAAAATCATACTTTCTATCATGAAATCAGTACGGTGGTCAATTGACGATCAGGCAACTGCCTGGCGTGACTGATCAACGATAGTTTCTTAGTAAAGGTCATTATATATATATATATATATAAATAAAAGTTTCAGCTATCACATGCATTCATTCAATAATGACTGGCTGCTAGAGCACACATTTTAGATTTGAGATAAACAAGAGCCTGGTATTGGACCAGTACTCGTTAGAATCAGATAATCTGAGTTGAATCAGAATTGGTGTTGGGGGAGAAAAGTCTAATCATTACATGCTTACTTGTTAGTAACATAAAAAGGCATAACTATTGTACATGGATTTGAGAAAAATAAACAATTCAGAATATATCTTACTTGGTTCTAGACCACCATGTTGGGAACAAACGCAGTAGTAAAAAGTCAGAGTGAAGCTAGAATCAGAGCTGTGTCTGAAAAGGCACTTTGAGTGATACATATTTAATTAAAAAGGGGAAAGCAAGGTTCTGCGTGGTCAGCACTCAACACTGAATCTACAAAATAAACACTTTAAACCCACTATACATTATATTTACATGCCATACAGATTCTTCAGAACAGTTTCCTGTGAAACGCCCTCTTATTGCTTCCAGTATTTGCTTGTTTGGCTTCTCTGTAACGTTATCTGGCAGCTAACTTAGGCACAGAAAGTGTGTCAGTGCTTTTATTGTCTCTTCACATTCAAGACTGGCACAGAAACAGGCCACCTCTGCCACTGAGAGGAAACCCTCAGGGACGTTCTTCTTTCTACAGTACATGCTCTCCTTCTCCTCTCTTCTCTTAATCCTCTCTCATGCCAGCCTGCTCCTCTCTTTCCTCGTCCTGAAAGCAGATATGAAAGCCTGTAAATACAATGTGGTTTTTTCGATAAGCCTGAAAATGGAGAGCGGTGGATACAATTACTGTCATAAGAAAGCTATCATGCCATCAGTAGGTTATTACCAACCTTTCCAATGTGCGTTTGCTGTCTGCTGAGAAATAGTGATGTGTCGAGCATCTCAGTTCAGCCTGGCAAAGCTTGTCTTGCAAATTAAAAACAGAGTTGCTGTAGCAGCAGAACAATAACTTAGCAAAAACCTCATAAAGATGATCACAATTCAGCACATTTCACCAACCAAGGAACTAAAACCACTTTCATGTGTATCCATATATGAAAGGGAGGATTTAAATGACAATATATGCCAGCACAGACATGCACAAACACATAAGCTCAGGTCTTAGGCTGGATGTTGATAACTCACCAGCTCCACAGAGGCCAGATTAATCAAATGAACAGAGCATGAGATATGGCAGGGATTAATAAAAGTCAGATTCCTAAATCCTGCAGACAGCCACAACAGAAGCAGCCTGAGCTGACGGTGCACTGAAGGTCGCAGCAGCCTCACATCGCTTCACTCTTACATAACCAGATATGCACCAGCTAAGCGGAATAATGCCTGCTGGATCTCATACGCACATGAAAAACCCCAAACACTATCAGAGAGTTTCACACTTAAAGCTTGACATTTTCCCTTTTGACTGTAGAATCTCATATAGAAGTATATGACCATGAAACACAAGCTTTTCAAAAAATAATTGTCTCATGACATTTTAGACAGAAAGACTTACAGTGCTGCATCCACACGCTGATCAACAGGCGTCATCCACTCCAATACGCAGAATGCAACACTGGCTCCATGTGTCTCCAGGCTCTGAACATGCCTTCACGTCAGCGCTGACATGAAACCATGCTTTACTCCAGGTCGCAGCAACCAGCCTAACAGGATGTGTGCTCCTGCGTGTGTTTTTGGGAGTGCGCACACACGAAGTTGAGGAGGGATGATTCAGATTGCGTTTCAGTTTTTTTGCATCATCTCTTCCCCCTCCCTCTTTTACTCTCCCTCTCCACTTCCTCTCCTCCTCCCATCACTTGCATTCTTGGCTCAGCCTGTCTCATCCATTCATCTCCCTCCTACCTTCCTCTCCCCCCTCTCTCTCTCTCTCTCTCTCTCTCTCTCTCTCTCTCAAATAAATGCTGGCTCACTGCAGTGCCGAGCGTGTGCAGCATCAGGAGTATGTGAGCGAGTACTAGCTGATGGAAGGTGATCTAACAAATAAGGGGAATAAAGGGGGGCAGCAGATTTGGGTCCCCTTTACAGCCAAGAGTTTAATCAAAAGGCTATTTCTGTGAGGGGGGTGGATGCTGCTGACTCACTGTACATGTAGAGAAAGAGAATACGAACTACAAGTTGGAGGGTAAAATATTAAAGATGAAGTTTAAGGAAATGTTAGTTTCACAGAAAGTGAAGATTTGATCCGAGTGATAACAATCTGGGAAAACCAAATGCTCTCTTATGCGTGTATGTATGTATACATCCTTCATATACCCACACACTTTTCACCATGTCACTCTGATGAATGGCATAGCAAAAGTAGGTCAAGGCTTAATGATAGAGGATATTGTTATTACTATCTATTCTCTTGACAAAACACTGAGGTCAAACTCATTCCCTTTCCTTTTTTTTGGAGACAAGATGAACAGATGAAGGTCACAGAAGACACATCAGAGACATGGATCTAAATCCCTGCAATGCACTGCTGTCTGTGGGATGAACTGAACTCTGTAAAGCGTTATATACATCTATAGATCACTGAAACAAAAGCTTTCATCTTCAGACAGCAGTAACACACTAAGCTTCTAAACCAAGCCAATACTTTATATTTTACATATTGCAATTCCACTATGTACTGTGTGACATTAGTACGGTGGAGGGGCTCAGAGGAGGAAGAAGAGATACGAGTCCGAACAAACAAAATGACCACTTTAAAACATTTCTGGTTGTACAATTAAATGACCAAAACTAGTCCTGTTCCGTCTGAATTTCTCTCCACATCTACACGTTTCAATGTTTGAATCAGGTCAAGTGATCATGCATAGCTGTTCCCACTGGTTGGAAAAGTAGATTTTAGAAGACAAGGATTAATAATTTGAATTTATTTGTATTTAGTACACAACGAGATATACAACTCTTAACCTACTTAACCTAAGTTCTTATTGCAAGTACAAGGTGATCATCAGTAAAAGGGTAACACCAATGACACAAATCTAAACCCTCATATTTTTAAATAATACAATTAATGTAACAACATTTCTAAAGAGTTATCTGTTTCTGTGGCTGGGATTACATTTTTACATGCTGAGGAAATCCTTTTCTCCATCCAACGGCGGAAAATATTGGACTTAAATCTTTTTTAAATTGTATACCTTCTGATCGCAGTTGAACTTGACAGAGCAGTTTTAAACATGTCATTATGCCTGGCAGCTCTGAGGCCAGTACAATGATCTCATCTCTGCCTCTGCCAAACTATGAGTCAGTCAGTGGGAAAACAGAACAAAAGAAACTTATGCAACTCTGGAGGAAAAATGAAAACATCCCGATAGTCATTTGTGTGCCAGTTTCATTAACATGCAGAGACACGACTTGCAGAGGCACGACATGCTCAATCCATTTCAAAAGCATGGCAGTTAAGGATAATGCTGAACGCATATTGAGGGGATTTATCATTTGATACTAGTCTTTCCATGGGATTCGTCATCATTGGGAAATAAATTGAATATAACCAACCTTAAGCATCAAACCCTTTTAAACTAGAAACTAAAACACTGTTTCATAGCCAACAGGATGCTCCACAGCTCGACCTTTAGTGAGTGGTCACAGTCTGCCTTCATTTGGATAATGCAAACTTTGTTCCTACACTCACATCAACACATGAACCAGCTTCTATGACAAACATCTCATTGCTTCATCGCTTTGTTTCTGATTTGTTAAAAGCTTAGTCTTCAATCTAAATGTAAACTAAATCATGAACCACTATAAAAGCAAAACACAGGACTGGAACATGCTGTGACCTACAAACTGACTGATAGGCTTTTTACTGTTTGTAAACGCAGCAGGATAAAATATGTTATGATATTCTTTAGCTGAGTGCTAATGGTAGCATACGAACATGCAAACAATTACAACATTCAAAGTATAAGGGATAAGGGAGGCGTGTGGCGCAGTGGATAGAGCGTTGGTGTTTGGATAGTAGATAGGTTCAAACCCCACTGCAGTCAGCATGTCGTTGTGTCCCTGAGACACTTCACCCCAAATTGCTCCTGTGGGGATTGTCCACAGTATTGAGTATGTAATTCGCTTTGGATAAAAGTGTCTAACAAGTGACATGTAATGTAATGTGATGTATAATAATAACCTTGCTCACTATGTTAATTTACTATTGCTAAATGGCTGATGGGAATGAAAGTTAGGTATATGGGCATAAACTAAAAACTAACTTTTAAGCAAGCACTTTCTCACATATCTCAAGAATGAGCGTTAATGGGCAGTTCTCAAAATATTCCGGGGCCAAGCTATCGCGCCATTTCAAAAAGTGTGTGTTTGAAACCACCCTGCACCGACTGGGCACTGCCCTAGTTATACAGCGAATGTGACCTGCCTATGGCTCTACATGAAGTTTCAACAGATCACCAAAGGTATTACTATTCATACTGGGGGGGAGGCAGAGATACTTCAATCAAAACCACAAATCTCAATCTTCCGGTGTAGAGGGAAAGGTCATGGGATCCCCAAAGTCATTAGGATTCATCCCCTTGGAATCATGGGTAGCTTCTGAACGGATACAAATGAAAGGCTGGGGCTTTAAGTCATAGAGACTAGCAGAAGCATTAATAATAATAATAATACATTACATTTATAAAGCGCTTTTCCTGGTGCTCAAAGCGCTTAAATACATTATCATCATTACATCACCACAGCCACAGAGACACTCATCGCTCAGGGCCACACACATATTGACACAAACTGAAGAGTAAACCTGTCATTTATTTTTGTTTTTTCAATATTCACGCCCACATAATAATCCCTGATGCTCTAAACACTGAAAAACAGTAATACCAACTGACTCAGATCAGATTAAAAAAACAGCTCTCTCTACTTATCCTCCAACAATGATTACACAACGTTAACCATTGTTAAACTGTACTTTAAGTAAGTAAAAAATCTAGGGCAACCTGTTATTATAAAACCAGCTTGTATCCACTCACCAGTATGAAGAGGAAAAAGTTTTTCCAGCAGTTATTTTTGGTTACTTTTAGTTCACATAGTGGCTGTGTGGCTGTATGTGAATCTGGGTCTCCCTCTGGTGTCCGTCACACAGCTCTTTCCAGAGCACTGACCTCAGCTGTTTCACCGTCTCACTTTCACACACACTGTAAAGCCACGTCACACTGCACAATAATGACACTGTCCAGTCAGAACGACCGCCTTTTAAATGTCAACAACCAGGTTGAAGTCAAACCGCTGGATCTGTAACATGTTCATTATGATAATGACGTGTTGGCTTGGCAGCACTGATAGAGATCAGCTTCTTTCTCTCACTTCATCTGCTCTTTATTGAATGTTTTATGATATAATACACAATTTATTAGTTTGTTAGGTCAGAAGTCCAAGAGTCCAGTCACATGCAGGTTCAATGATTTGCTGCCATGTTTAAAGAGTCACAGGACGGTTTATTGCTGCTCTTTTCCTGCATCCCACTTCATTTTAACACCAGCAAATTGAGATCGAATTGTTTTTGTGACAGTTCAATTATTTTGATTGTTTTAATTGCCCTTTTATAGAAATAGTTAGTATTGTGTATATTATTTTGTTAGCACATTCTTTAACCAGAAATGTCAGGGAAATGTGCATACCACTTCCTGCTGCTTCAAGTCCTTATGCTTACATTATTTATATTTCTTTCTAATCACATTTGACATGCTGTGGAGAAAGTGTCTGTACTCTAAATAAAGTAGGATGTCAATACGTCACTTGGCTGTATGCCTGCCCACAGTGCATTCTGGGGCCACAAGATAAGACTGACATTACATTTTCAGTCTGGCAGCAACTCAAAAATGTCCACTACACCTGAAATCAGCATAATCAGGAGACTGAATGCTACCCTGACACCACTGTGTTGACTGTACACAGACAGTAAAACACATATTCATTATTACTCATGCGCAAGATGACAGCTGCAGTATGTTTGTTTTTAGCCTTGATTGTTTTTCAAATCCTCTCAGCACCTAAAGCCAGATGTCCGTCTAGAAGGCTTATGTCTGTGGTAATCGCACCATTTCACCAACTCTGGGCAACAGTTTCGCTGCCACAAAAAGACCTTTAATTCAGAGCCCGTCCTTACTTCTGAAATTGCTTCGCGGTATAGCGGCCAACCTGCAGCTAATATTTTTAGCATTCCCCTTATGAAACAAAAGCTGTGTATATAATTCGTGGCTGCTCCAGATTTCATTTTCAGGGGAATCGAGAGGGCTTTACCAATGACTTTTATTCTTATAGCAAGCACCCCAGCTGGGGCAGCAGGATGAATGAGGAGATTAGCAGCGGGCAGACATCCCCTCC